CAGCAGGAACAAAACCATCCCCGTGTTATCAATACTGTTTCCAGCACAAATCCAAACCATAGCCCCATAGCAGCCACTGTGAAGAAGATTAACTCTACCCCAGCCAAAACCAGCGCAAACATAAACAGTCAAAAATCTTTACATGTAAAAATTTGAAGTTTCTAGAAATCTGGTCTATAAATGATGGTTGTCAACAGGAGACACTGAGGACTGTCTTGCTAAGCATCCGCAAGCTCACATAAAACAAGTAGTAAAATTTGCTTTGCACTTGGGGGCATCATAACTTCTTGTACTGATACAGTGAGTTTTACTAAATGCACCTGTGCTCCGTGCAGGACTTAGCAAAACTGATTTTATCTGTCAAGCAAATGTTGGAGATGTTTGAAGACAACAGGAGGTTGTCTTCCAAAAGTCCTCATTTTAACTAATCGACCTAATTCAGCTTTCCCAGAGAATACTTTCCTCCCCACCACCCCCAAGTGAAACTCTGTAGATATAAAAATATCTGGGCACTGATTTTTGCCTGCCTAAATTCTACTTGGAGCTCTGTGCCTACTGTTCACTTTCCATCAAGTATCTCTTGGTTCCCTGGAAGCCTGTGAGTGAGAAACGGCAGGGACAGGGAGTGGGGTGTGTTTTGGCCACCAGCTAGAGGTGGTATCACTGCAGGACATGGCAGAATCCACCTGACATGGAAAGCATCCCTTCCCATAGCCCAGGGATTCGCAGTCCAGGTGTCGCCTCCCAGATCTTTTGAAGCGGTTATTGAAGGACGCAGTCAGAGGGGCAACCTCATTTGGGGAAAAAAAATTGGGAGCATCTGGGGAAAAGTTTAACTTTTTTAATTTAGTAGAATTTTAGTTAGACTAGGGCGTTTTTAATGGGAGGCATCTCAAGGCATGCATTATCAATTTATTTATAGAAATCCTTACAGTGTCTATAAATGAGAAAGACGAGAGTGACGGCTTATTATTTGGAGGCTGGAGATCTGGAATCAGAAGTCGCAATCTGGATCCTCTACGAAGTCATTTGCATTTGGGGTTGTGGCGAAGGAGGAGGACGATTCTCCTGCCTGGCGTTTGAGTCCGGGTGGAAGTGGGTGACAGTGCTGCAGTCGGGTGGGAGTTGCACCACCCCGGGAGCAAGCTACG